AGGTTCCCAATCTTGCACTCATCTTTATGGAGCATCATCCAAACAGTACACCATACTAACATAGTATTACTTCCACTTCCAGTGATTGAAGGGGTGTGTGTGGTTCTTCCTTCAATAAAGTACCTAGGTCTTCAGACTAAGTAGAAACTCCTGCTTTAAGTGAGATTCCAGAGCTGCAGGAGGAACTAGTTGGAAGTATTTTGGTAAGACATTTCATCAAAAAATACCGTTTTTAACAGCCCCACATGCACACACATGCCCTGTGGACAAAGGCTGACAATTTAACTTGGAAAAACTTTTAAAATTGTTTCAAGGAATAGTTTGTTTTTCATTTGTTTTTTAAGGACATTTCATTTTGAACTGTGTTGGTTACAACAGGTCATCAGTGGTTGGCATTAAAGAAGTTTCAAGACTGCTGGAACATTGTTTCGATACAAAACAACAGAGAAAAGCAATGCTTGAGGGGGATATAATAAAGGTTTACAAAATACTAAGTGGGGAAGAGAGAGAAAATAGGGATGGAGTATTTATGGTCTCTCACAGTACAAAAACTACAGGTCATAAAATGAAACACCGAGGTAGTAAGTTCTTTTTCGCATAGTATGTAATTAAAGTGTGGGCCTCATTGCCACCAGATGTGGTGACACCTGGCAGTTCAGCTAGATTCAGAAAGGGATTGGACACATGCTGGGAGGAAAGGTGTGTCATTAGCTATTGAGCATGGGAGTTAGGGGTACAGCCTCCGAATCAGAGCTTCCTAGACCTTAAATAAGGGGTGGGCAAAACAGTGAGTCCGAGGGTGGGGTTTCTGCGGAGACTGGCCTCCACGGCGCTGGCATGGTGTGTGGCAGGACGGGGGAGCTGCTGCAGGGCTGGGCTGGGATGCTGTGGTGGTGACAGCATGGCCTGGAGCCAGGGCAGAGCCATGGGCTACTGCCTGCACACACCTGCCCAGGACACGCAGGCTGCAGATCACAGCTCTGCCCTGGCTGTCACTGCCGCAAGATCCCAGCCCGGCCCTAGAGCAGCTCTAAGCTCTGCCAGCTGGGGAAGCGCTGGGGAGGGGCTTGCGGGGGCTATAGCCACCCCAGAATTCCCAATAGCCACTTCTTCCAGTGCCGCTGCCACCACCCGCTCATCACAGGTCCCCCTCAGCCCCCCCGACCAGGAAGAGCCTGGCACCGCTGGTGCTGCCAGTGCTGCTGGGGCCAGTCTCCATGGAAACCCAGCCCTGCTGGGGGGGAGCGAGGGTATACTTGCCCCCCCCTCCCCAAGTTCCAGCCAGAGGTTCAGACCTTGCAGGGCCCCCCTCAGGGATGCTCTTAGATGAGCTGATGAACACTTACTGTGGCTGATTCACTGTTATGAAACGCTCCAAAGGACTGTAGGTTTCTGATGGGGTTGCTAGTGACCGTTTATTCCTAGCTCAGGGAAGCACAGACCGATTTGACATAGTTTAAGTGCTCTCAGATAGAAAGAGACTCCCGGCAATGGGGTAAGAAATGCCCCTCACTCAAGGAGTGACAAGTATCCAGTCTATCACTGCATTACACAGACATGGGAAGAAAAGAAAAGGTCATATGCTTCTTGGAGTGTTGCTCTGAGTCGCCCTGCTCCGCCATTCACCCAAACCTGCCCCCGCCCTGTTTTTTTAAAGCAAGGACTCATCTTTGCGGTGATACCAACAGACAAGTCTGTATCCCCTGCATTTGAAAAAGCATTGAGCCACTGTCTTCAAATTCCCTGCTCTTGATTTTGAGCCTGACTGGAATCAAATGTAATTTTAACTCTTGTCCCATTCAACAAATCTCTAGTGAAATCCTATAAATTTTCAATCAAACTTCAAGAAAACCAACTAGCATTTTCATTTCTACAGAGCCACAGAGGCAGAATGCATAATGAGCCTCCCCACCTTGTTCACAGAGGAATAAATGGTGTGGAAAGACTCCTCAGTCCATCTTTCCTTACAGTATATTGCTTTTATCCTGCCTGCCTCTTGGAGGCACCAGATGGGATGTCTTTAGTTGTCTGCAGCCCTACATTGCCTCTTCTCCAGCTGCTTTTGATGTCCCCCACCCCACCCCACCCCAGTCACTGCTGGTGCCAAAGCTGCGCCCTGAAAGCACAGTGCCCCCACGCTGGGCATTGCACAGCCTCCAGCCCCTGCTGGGATTAGCATTGCCATATCTTAAATGTAAAATGATCATATTAGAAGCTGAAAATTGTCATCTTTGCTGAAAAACTATTGTACACTAAAAATATGCAAATAAATATACAAATAAGCCTGTTTCCTATTTACTGGATATTGTCAGTGAGTGAGTGAGAACTGGGTCCTCAGAGTTTATTTTGAGGCAAGCAGTCACAGGGAAGTGTTACCAGCAAACCCCAGAGCCAGTTAAGACATCCTGAGGAGGACTTGGGTTTTGCATATGCTGCCCTAATGAGCTGCCTCACAAATTATCATACATTTTGAACCCCTTTATTAGTATTGCTGGTACATCACACAAGGGTGGAAATTACCATGCATATATGACAATTATTGTACATCTGGCAACGCTGGTTGTGCTTTCTTCACGGCTGCTGCCTCCTTCCCACCTGCACCAGGAGCTGCTTGCTTGCATTCACACTCCTGCAAAAGGTAACGCCCCTGCTCCTGTCCCCTGAGCTACTTCCCTGCACAGAGCCAGTACGGGGCTCTTACCCCTGAGCTTTCTCCAAGCCAGCTCTGGCCAGGGACTCAAATAGGGCCCTGCCTCAAGTGCAGCGAGGACAGGGGCTCTTGGGCTTGCACTGTCCCTCTCTTCTCCTCTGCCGGCTCTCAGCTCCATCTGCCCCATGCCCATAACTTGCGGTGCATTGATTCTCACAGCAGCCCTAGGGGCCAGGAGAGTGCTAGTGTCCCTAGTATGATGTTGGGGACATTCACTGGACACTGCAATGTCTCACAACCAGGCTTTGGCACCTCAGTGAATGGCGCTTCAAATCCTGTGTGGTACAAACATTCAGAAAACCCACGGCTCTAAATTATGCAGGATTGTGTAAACACAGTATAATTTAACATCTGTTGTTATTAATATTATTAGTATTATTAGTATTAGGGATACTTTTCCTTTCCTTTGTTGTGTGCTTGGGGGCCTGTTGGCCAAGCTTTCAGGTCCAAAGTGCCCTTCTCCATACTGAGCCCACATTTGGAGAAGGCCATGGAAACCTTGTCCAACATCTCTCCCAGCTGTACAGTTGGTCCAGCTGCAGATGTCACAGCTCTCCCACCCCTTCTCGCCTCATACATTTCTAGGACCATCAAGGCCCCAGTGACACTCCCCCTGT